GTAATGTGAGCTACAATTTTGTTAAATGACTTACAACTTGTGTTGTGGTAATATTATTATTATGTAATTTGATAGGGTAATGTGAGCTACAATTTTGTTAAATGACTTACAACTTGTGTTGTGGTAATATTATTATTATGTAATTTGATAGGGTAATGTGAGCTACAGTTTTGTTAAATGACTTACAACTTGTGTTGTGGTAATATTATTATTATGTAATTTGATAGGGTAATGTGAGCTACAGTTTTGTTAAATGATTTTCAACTTGTGTTGCGGTAATATTAGTTAGACACAAAAAATTTAAGTAGAAATGTATGTATATTGTTAAGAGTTTAAAGTTATTTAGGATAAACAAATATAGGTACTTTAGATTTATTATTTTTGTGTGTGTGTGACAAGTTAGAAAAGTAACAGATAAAATATAAAGTTTTACTGAAAGAAGGCTGAAATTTGTTTAGGAGGTTTTAGAGATTACACAAATCGAACATGAAATTTTTCAGATGATGAAAGGGTAGTTTTAATCTTAACACAAAAATCACACTTGAAACACTTTAACTCTAGATATTCATGGAGAAATTTTTAGTGAAATTATTTCCTGATTTTCTTTTGTTCACAAAAGACTTATCCCAAGAATGCCAGTGTTAAATTTTCAGTCGTTAACAGCAGGTAGTATAGAGTCATAGAGACCCATCTGGTATTCTAGGGTTAATGCTAACTGAAAGCTTGCAAACTTTTGTAAAGATACACAAAACATTTTAGAAGATATGGTATAGAAACTATGAAGGTCAAATTGGGGTTAGAAACTCGGCTGATTCAGCCGAGCCTAGCGAGAGAATTAATGTCATTTGATAGATATGTTATGTATCTGCTGGTTTCTTAATTTCCGGTATAAATTCTTTCCGAGGATTTGTGAAGTATGTTTTGATGCCAAGTTTATTTATATACATTGATAAAAATAGTTTATTTAAATTTTGCTAGTTGTGTTGATATCTTCAGAGGTTTGGCTACATTGCTAGCTATGTTGATATCTTTGAAGGTTTGGCTACATTGCTAGCTATGTTGATATCTTCAGACGTTTGGCTACATTGCTAGTTATGTTGATATCTTCAGACGTTTGGCTACATTGCTAGTTATGTTGATATCTTTGAAGGTTTGGCTACATTGCTAGCTATGTTGATATCTTCAGACGTTTGGCTACATTGCTAGTTATGTTGATATCTTCAGACGTTTGGCTACGTTGCTAGTTATTTTGATATCTTCGGAGGTTTGGCTATGTTGCTAGTTATGTTGATATCTTCGGAGGTTTAGCTACGTTGCTAGTTATGGTGTGGCAGTTTAGAATCTGCTTGTACAGCTGTTGGCAGGTGTGGCGGTTTAGAATCTGCTTGTACAGCTGTTGGCAGGTGTAGCGGTTTAGAATCTGCTTGTACAGCTGTTGGCAAGTGTGGCGGTTTAGAATCTGCCAGTGCAGGTGTTGGAAGGTGTGGCGGTTTAGAATCTGCCAGTACAGGTGTTGTTAAATACTAGTCAGTGCAGCATACCAGTAAAATAATACATTTTTCTAAAAAAAACTACAATTGACAACACCAGGTTATGCATAGAGCAGTGCACAAACAGATAATAACATATTGTATCAGAGATATTTAGTTTACAATTTTACTAGTGTTTTATGTAAAATGAATCATCTGGTAGTAGTGGACAGGCAAAGGTATTGAAATGATTAGGGTAAACTTGTAAACAAAGTAAGAACAACATTTTGTGTGGAAGCTACAGCACTTAATTCTCTCTCTCTGTATATGGAAATTGAGAAAAGCCATAAATTATGTCCATCATTTGAATTTTGGAGGATGAAATATCCTTTTATTTGTTAATTTTTCTTGGCACAAATTAAAATGAAAGAAAAACAATACAAAGTATAGTTCGTTTAACAAATAATCTGTTCTAAAAATATAATTATATAATCAGCAAATAATATGTTTGTGTACATTTCTTTATTGTATGTAATTTTTTTTTATAGAACAGCTTATTAGTTCTTAAATTCTAAAACAAAATGTGTTATTTTCTAGGATTGTTGAATCTTTTAGAAAATGTAGTACTTACCATTCCCGACTCCCTGGTGTCTCAGGTTTTAGGAAATATTGTAAGACCCGATATCTTAATTGTTTTGGCTCATCATAAAAGTGGATATCTTCGTTCAACAGTTGTGAAGGTTAGATTTTCAATTCTTTTAGCTGATATTTTGATATTGTTTTAACTTGCTAGTTTTGGTAAGTACCTTCCTAAATTCCTTTCTTGAAATAGACAATCCTGTGTGGTGTTTCACAAAGTAGCTGGATGTACGGTGTTTCACAAAGTAGCTGGATGTACGGTGGTTCTTGTCATGATTTTTGCCTCTTACATAATGTTGCTTTCAACACATCAACAATCTTGGTTACAGATGCCCCTTCAAAATCTGCTAAATCATTCTTAGAAGACATTTTCACTCACCAACCATAGTATGCCAGACTGTTAGGTCTTACATGGCTGTTGTATCTCAGCCAGCTTCATTAGCCCTGGAATTGTTTGATAGGCCTTGCCTGCTTAGGATATAACATATAGTATGGATGACAATTTACACACTTCTTTACTTTCACTCATTTGTTCTTTTAACTACAATATAATAACCGATAATGAGGTGCAGTTGATTATTTACACATTAAGCGTACATCCAGCTACTTTGTGAACCACCGTACATCCAGCTACTTTGTGAAAGAAAACAATCAGTATAGGCTAGAGTTCAGTGTGGACTCGGGAACAATGGTGAAGGTTGTCTGATTAGATGTTTCATCACTGTAATTGGATGGTTCAAATCGCTGTGCTTAAAGAAAGGATAAAAACTAGTCATTTCAAAAACATCCATAGAGACTAGGTTCACACCATGATCACCACTTTTGTTGATCACGATCTTTTGAGATGACAATGTATTTATATTCCAAAATATATTGTAGATTTATTTATATGTAAATCATTAAATAACAAGTCTAGTTCAAACTGTGAAAACTAGTTACCATAGCATCAACTGATTTCCATTAAAATTTTTATTAGTTTTTAGTATCTGCATTATAAACACTACTGAATTAGTAACAAATCATTCAGTGAATATGTTTTAAAAAGTAAAAGGACAAAATGGAAAAATATTTTATTTGTTGTCAATACTGATAATTTTATTATGATAACTTTGGGAAGGTACTGTGATGTGCATCTTAGATGTAGTTTCTGATCTCATATGTTTGTGCAACTAACTGTTTTAGAGTTTGATGAGAACTTTGTTTTCAGGTAATAAGTGCGTACCTTCAGAGAGCATTTGATGAACAAATAAATGGATTTTTGAAAATGAAGGGCTTCCATCTTCTTGCCAACCAACTTCATCAGTACAGTGTTACATCAGAGTTAGTGGATGCTTGTTTCAGCATAGTAATTGGTAGACACTTCAGTTTTGATGGGGAGTAAGTACAAAGACACTAAAGACAATTTTTGATTTCAGCTCAGAATTTTCAGTGTTTAATTAACCTCACAGTTTAATTTAAACAGTTTTTACTTAGTTGGCAGACATTATAATTGGTATTTATATCAAATGCTTCTGTTCTAATGTGTTGCTCACACTAAGCTGTTACAGTTGTTGCACTTATTCATAATTTTCTATTGCTTTTTAGATTATTATCCTCGTATTTTATACCAAGTCCTTCACAAGGTTTTTATAAACGTTGTAGTGTAAGAACTGTTTTTAACCGAAAGATAAATTATTTTAAAATTGTCAAATAAACAAAGTATTAACAGTTTGCTGTAATTATTCACTGTAAATGTTCTTGCAGGTTTCAGTTTACCCTTCCATTACAACTTAATTCAGTCCAACTAATGGCTTGTGTTCCATTAATGGCTCTTCTTCCTAACTGTGCCTCAGATATTCCACTGTGTCATAATGTTATTTATGGAATATCAAAGGTAAAATATATTTTTTTATGTGAATAAATTTTTAGTTTGCTCTATTCTTCTTGCAGTTTGTAGCTCTCTAGTATTACTTTTAAACCATTCTATTTGGATATGCATACATTATAAACCATAATGACTAATATCCTTAGCACACTATTTTTATGCAAAATAAAGTATGATAACAAAGATGTATTTGTATATTATCTTTTTTTTTTTTTACAAGGAAATAGTTTGTTTCGTTGATATCAGCCCACACAAGATTGTTTAGTAGTAATAAGAAGTGTCTGTTCTATTACTTTGTTTTCGTATCTAAATTGTATTCAGAAGCCGTGCTCTAATATTTCCCCATGCAGGTGTGTAAGCACTCGTCTTCTGACTTGAAAACACTACTGGAAAATGGTCTAGCTGAGAGCCTGTGTAACTTGATTATAGAAATCAGTCATTCTGAGCCAAGGTAGGGAATGTTAGGTGTTGGATATACAAGACTGTTTAGTGTAAGTTATTTATTTCATTTAGTGATTTAATATTTAATGTTTATTTATTTTTCATAATAAGAGTGTTTAAAGTTAACTATTTTAAAAGTGATAGTTATGACACATTTCGTTATGCAACTCTAAGAGTTGTATGTTGTGTGTGTGTTAGTTTGTTGTGAATTAATGTCACGTTACTCAAACCTTCGGTATTTTTCTCATTGCCTCAAGTGTATAACATCATGGTGTCATAGTTTGTAGAAAGTTCTAGGCCTCAGTTGGACAGTGTGTGTGTGTGTGTGTGTGTGTGTGTCTATATATATAGGCAATCAACAAGTGTAAGTTCAGATAGAAAAAAAGTTAATTAGTTAAAGAAAACGTGAAGTTAGCTGGTGATTGAGTAATCAGCCTTAACAAGTAATTTTTAGTGTGTTTCACAGCTGTATTGTAACAACAGAGATAGGAAAATAATTTGTTTTGTCAGTTGCATTCTAAAGCAACTGAACCATCCTGCTGTATGGACTTTTGACAAAAAGGAGACAAGAACTTAAAGCTCTAGATACACCTGTGGTAAGCAAAAAAAGTTAAAACAGAAAAATGTTAAGTTAGTGAAAGTGAAGTTTAGACTGTGTGACTGTTAGTTTAGCTGTAATGGGCGATATTTGAAAGTGAATTTCACAGTGTAACAGAGATGAGGAGAAAAAGTTGTCTTGTCAAAGAATGTTCTAAAGTAATTGAACATGTCTATGTGGACTTTGATGAAAAGGAAACAATTATTTAAAGTTCTGGATACAACTGTGGTAACCAATAGTTGTAGACTAAGTTTTGATTGTACTTAAAAAAACAACAAACAAACTGGTCAATGGAAAAAAAAATGCCTAGTTCTGACCTATTTCAGCTGAAAACGTTTGAATGAAACTATTTATTTAAAAATAATATTGTTAATAATATGTTTTGATGAGAAACTTTGCAAATGAAAGTTCCTAACTTTAGGTTTTAAAAATTGAAGATTCAGAAAGACATTTTTACATTTAATTACAATTAAAAAACATCAATTGAGAAAGAGTTATACAGTTAAATAGTATTCATTAAGAGATGATGAAATGTTCCTTAGTAGGGTGAAGTCTAAGAAGTAGGAGATCAGGGAGCTCATAACTGTGATTTTTGTTTTTCTCGTTATTGATAAATTTTTTAAAAATTGTTTCATAGTATCACTGATGAAGTGAGATGATCAGTAAAGTAAGATGATCAGTAAAGTAAGATGATCAGTAAAGTAAGATTCTAGATCTTCTTTAATGTGGGAATCGTAAAAGATTTTGAGAATTTATCTATTCATATAGACTTGACAGGTGTAATGATTTTAAAATCTAACAATCCCCTTCAAGGGCGCTGAATAATTAACCTGCCCAGTGCCCGAGACTCATGGCTGAAAATAAATCATTTTGTTAATTATTATAAAACATGAGTTGTAAATCACCTTAACTGTTGTTTCAAGTGGCTTGTGAATTAATGTTTTGAAGATTTTCAATCACGTTAAAAGGTGATGGGTATATGATCCAGGAGGTTGGGGTGGCTGCAATTTGGGAGAATTCTTGTGTTTGTGAGTTAAGTTTATGTGTGTGTGTTTTTAATAATGAGATACTAACCTTAATAAACGTTTTTTTCAGGGGTGGTATGACTAAAAGTGAGTTCAGGTATTCGGGTGAGGTATAAATATGGGCTATTTTAATTGCTCTATTCTGAAGATTTTGTAGTCTGACATATTACAAGTTACCACATTACTATGTTCAAATAAAGGTCTAATATAAGCACGATAGATAGTGATGATTGTTTTGGCACAGCAACCCTCATTAATACTCTCCTATGCATCTTAAGTAGTTGATTATGTTACTTGTTTTTCTTATGATCTCATTAAAATGCTTACTCCAAGATAAATTCGAGCTGAATGTTAAACCTAGGAATTTAATAAATTTAGAGAATGAGACTACTGTGTTATCTAGTGTTAAACTCAGGTTTCTTACTTTTTTTCCTGTTCTTGTTAATTTTCTTGAGGAAAGCGATGATTTGTGTTTGAGACAATTTTAACAAAATATAAAGTTTGTATATAACTTACAAGTAAGTGCTGGGTGTGTACCCTAGTAATTGGCATGCTTGGACAGTAGGTCCAATAATTTGTGGTTTATGACCCATTGTTGCAAAATGTGCTCCATACTTTTGGGCTATGGGTGAACTATAAGATTGATTAAATCATTCTATTTGGTCAAATAAGAGTATCCCAAGGGTTGGTAGTGAGTGCTGTTGAAAATAAAAATTAGGAATAGCTATTTGTAACTTATTATAATGGTAGTATAAGGGTTGGTAGTAAGTGCTATTGACAATTTAAAATTAGGAAGAGCTATTTACAGATGACCATTATGTAGCTTCTGATGAAATTCTGACTGATCATACAAGCTTATGTAACTAACAAACTATAACAAAATCCTGAACAAAAGACTGAGTGAAAAAATGATTAATTAAAATCCAATTGAACTTCTTAAACTCATTTGAACAAACCATTGTATGTAAAATTCATATATTGAGATAAATAAAAAAATCCTATCATTCTATGTAGTTAAAATCAACTAATATGAAAATTTGAAGTTTTAGAAATGTACATTTGCATATTATATTTGAACTTATTAACATTAACCATATAGCCTCCATCTATGCTCTCAGAGCTAAGGTAATGTCCCTATTTGAACTTATTAACATTAACCATATAGCCTCCATCTATGCTCTCAGAGCTAAGGTAATGTCCCTATTTGAACTTATTAACATTAACCATATAGCCTCCATCTATGCTCTCAGAGCTAAGGTAATGCGTGTATTTGAACTTATTAACATTAACCATATAGCCTCCATCTATGCTCTCAGAGCTAAGGTAATGCCTCTATTTGAACTTATTAACATTAACCATATAGCCTCCATCTATGCTCTCAGAGCTAAGGTAATGCCCCTCTCGTCACATTTCGTTACAAAAATAAAACTAGTGGGTTAAATTGCTTGAAATTTGACAAAAATATTCCTGAGAGTATGTAGTTTCAGAAAACATAAAATATTTAATTTTTACTTCTTTTACTAGTTCCAATAAAAAATCGTTATTTCAGTTAGTTATGTGGTGAAGAGTGAACCTCTGCTAAAGTTAATATTGTTCATAGAATGTGGATCATGTGACACAAAACATGCAATTTAAGTATTTTTTTGAAACATTTCCTTTGAAACAAAATAATTAAAACTTAGGTTACATAAAAATTGAAATAACATTCATTATATATATTGACATATACTGGTAGTGAAGTGGTTTAATTAGATTTTTTAATGTAATGCAATACCATATGCAGAAAGGGATTTAAATATGGCACTGGAGGTTATATGGTTAACTAATTTGTGTGGTGAACGTATAGCAACTCAGTTCACACATTCACGGCTAGAATTTGTGTGGTGAACGTATAGCAAGTCAGTTCACACATTGACAACTAGAATTTGTGAGGTGAACATATAGCAAGTCAGTTCACACATTGACGACTAGAATTTGTGAGGTAAATGTATAGCAAGTCAGTTCGCATATTCATGACTAGAATTGGTGTGGTGAACGTATAGCAAGTCAGTTCACACATTCACGACTAGAATTTGTGTGGTGAACGTATAGCAAGTCAGTTCGCATATTCACGACTAGAATTTGTGTGGTGAACGTGTAGCAAGTCAGTTCCCACATTCACGACTAGAATTTGTGTGGTGAACGTGTAGCAAGTCAGTTCGCACATTCACGACTAGAATTTGTGTGGTGAACGTATAGCAAGTCAGTTCGCACATTCACGACTAGAATTTGTGTGGTGAACGTGTAGCAAGTCAGTTCGCACATTCATGGATAGAATTTGTGTGGTGAACGTATAGCAAGTCAGTTCACACATTCACGACTAGAATTTGTGAGGTGAACGTATAGCAAGTCAGTTCACACATTCACGACTAGAATTTGTGAGGTGAACGTATAGCAAGTCAGTTCACACATTCACGACTAGAATTTGTGAGGTGAACGTATAGCAAGTCACTTCACACATTCACGACTAGAATTTGTGAGGTGAACGTATAGCAAGTCACTTCACACATTCACGACTAGAATTTGTGTGGTAAACGTATAGCAAGTCAGTTCACACATTCATATAGTAACAAAGATTGAACACCTACCTGTAACAAACTTTAATTAATTAGTGGGGACTAACAGTGACATACAGAGTCAGAGCTAAGTCTGATTGTAAACCTACTTAAGTGACAGCTAGAATAAAATTTCACTTACAGTATGTGATGACACTGATTACTTAAGAAACATGTATCATTTCACTGTAATTGGTTTTTTCCTGAGCTTTTAAAACTTGATGTACAAGACTTTTATTTAATCCTGTTTAATACTGGTTCTAGACCAACTGATGTAGAGAATGTTTATGAACAAGATCTTCTCAAGGATGATGTCTTCCAGCTTCTTCATCTTATAGCCTTCACTCTTTTTGGGTAAGTTATGATGTTACACTCTTCAGTTGATGTTCAAATGAATATTTTCTGACTCATTTATTTACATTTGTTTTCAGAATTGAGTCAATTGTGAGCAAGTTCTATACTTGCCCAAACTGTGAATTTAAGAATTCATGGTTTGCAGTCTTTTGTCACAGAAACAAGCTCCATAGATATGTTTTAAGACTAAGAGTCAACTAACACTATTTGGTTAGATAAGAGCTGGTAGTGGATGCTTTCGATAAGCTGCTTACCTCTAGTCATGGTTTAAAGTAAGGTATGGCTATACCGAGGGTAATTCATGTGTTACCTCTAGTCATGGTTTAAAGTAAGGTATGGCTATAATGAGGGTAATCCATGTGTTACCTCTAGTCATGGTTTAAAGTAAGGTATGGCTATACTGAGGGTAATCCATGTGTTACCTCTAGTCATGGTTTAAAGTAAGGTATGGCTATACTTAGGGTAATCCATGTGTTACCTCTAGTCATGGTTTAAAGTAAGGTATGG